ATATATATATATATATATATATATATATATATATATATATATATACTGTATATATATACTGTATATATGCATTTGTGTTATACTGTGTCTTTGTATCATATGGTTATCTCTTTAAAATGACAGGTCTTTCCCTCCTTTTCGATTTTAAACAGAACATACTTTGACAACATAGTGGCAATAGATTCTCTACTTGAACATATCATGGTGAGTAGGTTCTCCTTCTCTCAGTAAGGTCACATGCTTGGTCCTGAGGACAAACATGCTCTTCTTCTGTGGCTCATCTGTGTCACGATCAACGCCAAATAAATTTGTGCTAAGAAAGACCTTCTCTCATTTGTTTGCCATGTTCTGTGCTCACCCCACCAGCCTTGGGCTTGTTGTTAAATATTATTTTTCTCATTTACGCACATGTTTGTGCGTAAATGAATTCTTCAGCAAACATGCACATGTTGCATTCTGTCATGGGGAAATGTCATTAAGGAAATGCATGTTTATTTGTGTTTCAGATATATGCAAAAAACCTGGTTAATGCAGACAGATGTGCGCTCTTCCAGGTAGATCACAATAATAAAGAGCTGTACTCTGACCTGTTTGACATCGGGGAGGAGAATGAAGGGAAACCTGTCTTTAGGAAAACCAAAGAAATTAGGTGAGCTTCCAGAAATCTTCACTCAGTCATATTTGAGTCTTTACATCCTCGTAAACTACCAGCTGAATGTGTTTGTTTTTGTGTATTTATATTTATTTTTAGATTCTTGCATAGAACAAAAAAAAAGTTACGTAAAGTCACAAAATTCAGAATTGAATCTCTGACTACAGCAAATGTAGTACAGCAGGTTGTACAACACACTCTGAGATAGTTTACTGCATCACCAAATCCATATGGAAACTTCACAAAACCTGTCATGAGCATTTTTTGCACATATTTCAGCTCAAAATCAAAAGTAATATAAATGCATTATATTTTCCATGAAGAAAATGCTGCCTGTTGTAGGACCAATAAATAATCTTTGCATTGTATTATGATTTTCAAGACAAATAAGCATTCCTTCCACCCTTCGCATAACTGTAATGCAAGAAAAATCTTTTTATTTAATAGAAAAAAAAAATGATGAGAATAAAGATAATTAAAAAACTCAAAAGTGAAATATTGTCATTCGATAGTAATGACAATTTGGGGCAAAATGTCCTCAGTGGTGATGCCACAGTGCAAAAAATCATAATGGTCACAAACATTGGATTTCTTTTGAATTTTCTTTTGATTTTTAAGGTGAGATGTGACCGGATGTGTGTTTTCATCCCTAAATAAGTCTAAGTATACTTCATACATTGGTAACTGACATTAAACACTCACCCCCAGGTTTTCTATAGAGAAAGGAATAGCAGGCCAGGTGGCGAGAACAGGAGAAGTTTTGAATATTCCGGATGCCTATGCAGACCCCCGTTTCAACAGGTAATAATTATTTTAATTTGTCATGCCAAAACACACAAAATGTCTTTAAGCAACTTTGTTAAAGGGGTCATATGATGCGATTTAAAATTTTCCTTTCTCTTTGGAGTGTTACAAGCTCTTGGTGCATAAAGAAGATCTGTAAAGTTGCAAAGACTAAAGTCTCAAATCCAAAGAGATATTCTTTATAAAAGTTAAGAGTCAGCCACACCTACCTAAAACGGCTCGTTCCAACACGCCCCCACATGTCTACGTCACGATGTGGGAAGATTTGCATAATGCCACCCAAATGTTCATGCAAAGAAAGAAGGCGTAACTTTTATTCTCACTGTAGTATTGTTGCTGCCGCCATGTCGTGAAGGCGCTGTGTGCTTCGTTGTGAAAGCGAAACTACTTTGTTTGGCCTTTCAAAAGAGGACGATATCCGCTTCGTCATGCCTGGAGCTGATCCGTGCTGGTCGCTGAAGAAATACTACAACTTCGCGCTGTGGATCGCCGGATCGGCTTTCACCGTGGA